TTCTAGTGGGAAAGCTTGTATCGTCTGAGATTACCCATTCTTTCAGACCTTTAGGATGCTACCTATCAGTCAAATACCATCGACTGATGATTTGCATTATGTTAAGTCAGCATTTTTCAAATTGGGTGTCCCGAAGGGTGGAGAAACTATGTGCCCAGGGTAGAGGGTATTTCACGTGGAGTCAGAAATTTCTGGGTCACAGATACTGAATGGAATGGTAAGTAATGGTGTGAAACTGTGCAAGCGGCATCTCCTCATTAACTCTGTTCTTTCCCCTGTAAATGACGATGATGATGATGGCTTTAATGTCTATTGCAAAGGTGAGCAGGAATGCAAAACTGGCATTATTATAAATGCAACAGTGCACTTATTAGGTGCCCACTATCTTCCATGCACTCTGATAAACATTTATATGCTTTATGCAGTTTAATCCATCCAACACTCTCCATGAGATTGCTATTGTGTTTATTTTCATTTTACAGATTGGGAAATTGAGGCATAGAAGTCAATACATTTTCTCAAAGTCATGAAAATAAAAACATGGTGGATCCAGTCTGTGAACACAGGCCATGTGACTCCACGGCTCTTGGACCGGGAGATGGACCGACGGGATTGCTTAGCTGCTGTTGCTGCGGCGGGGAATCTTGTTTCTCCTGTTACCACGGCGCTCTTGGACTGAAGCTGCTCTTATTTCTTGCCACGCGGCGCTATGTTCTCTTCTCTTCCTATTTGTTTTCTTCTCCCCTTTCAGGTGGCTTCCTGGCTTCTTGTGGTGCTTTAATCCTAGGGGAGAGAGGATGACAAGGGTTCTGATGTGAGTTTTCAGAAGAAAACTAATTTTCCATCACTTACGCAAAGTGGTTTCCTAGGAGTTTGAGAGAAATCACGTCCCCCTCTGATACCCGGTTTTCTATCAGAATGAGATCTAATGCTTTGGAAGTATCTCATCAAGATAGACTCGCACTCACTCTACACACCAGAAAAAAAAAGTCCCTGGAGACAGAAAGTGTCTCTTGTTTAGCTAACCAACTTCCTGTGGACAGTGATACAGTGTGAGCAGGCGTTGTATTATTTAGTACTTCACATTCAAAGAAAGTTTAGAATTGCTCCTCTTTCGGGATGTTTTCCTGTTTTCCTGAGGGATCTGGGTATTCGCTAATGTGTTTAGTATACTTAATTCTAGAAAAGGACACATACAAAAATGTAAGTTTCTGTTTTCTTATCATCAAACTTCATCTCTTTTTTCTTACTCTGTTTATAGATAAAATGGCAACATTGGTTTTAAATGAATTCTATTATCCAGAGTTTTGGGAGATTTGGGAAGATACTCCTTGTTGAAATAGAGCGTTTTCCCCTTTCTGGGGGAAGGACACATGAGGAAGGCCTCA